TCTGTCACAATGTCTGGCAGCCCCTGCAGGATTTTCCTGTTGGTTCCTGGTGCTTGGCTGACAGCCTATGTTTTGTCACAAAGCTGCAGCCAATCTGCACTCCTCCTCCCCTATTTATCTCGACCTCTCTTGTTGCTCTTTGTTTGAGCAACAAGTCCTATCTCTTGTGTCAGTCCCCTTGTGTTTCCTGTGATTGGCATTTCCTGTACTCTTGGCTTTCTGTGCACCCTGTTGGACTAACTGTTTGGTTTTATTTCTTACCTACTCCTGTGATTGGCATTCGCTGCACTCTCTTGGTTTGCTGTACTCTTGGTTTCCTGTGTACCCTGTTGGATTACCAATTTGGCTTTATTCCCTACCTTGCTCTTGGAGTTCCTGTTATATCCTTAGTCTTCAGTGTGTACCGGTGTATATTCCTTTTGCTCTTCCTGTGGGCTATCATTTTGCTATTCTGCTTCAGTGTTCCTGTGTACTTCTTTATATCACATCAGTGTCTTGCAGGCCTTCCCCTGTTCTTCTGTGCACTTTATGTTAAATTCCTCCTTGTAACGCACACCCCTTATGTGCATTTGCCTCCTTGTCCTGCTCCTTGTGTGTATCTATCCCCCCCTCACCCATAATAATGTTTATTAAATCTGGTCTCTTGCAGTAGGATTAAATTGTATGACAGCATGTTGATTGGTATATCAATAGAATGATAAAACGGTATTTACATTCTATGAGCTTAGCAACATGTGGTATCGATAAAAGCAACGTCAATAGTTGCAAATATCATGTTTGTGATCTTTAAATGAGAATGTATGTAAATAAACAACAGAAGAAAAAATAAAACATTTTGTTATGTATTTCTTAAGTAATTTGATTTGAGCAGGTGACATGGAGGAGATGGGCGAAACAAAGGATAGTAATAAGGGGAAAATATTGATATATAGAAGGGTAAGGGGTAAGAAAAATGAACTAAAGTGAAGAAAGATATATGAGGGGAGGTGATGAGAAGAAAAAAAACGTTTAGGCAAGAAGATGTAATAAAAGGAGGAAAGAGAGAAGAGTGATGCTGGAGGAAAACCACCAACATGTACGCGATTTCTCAAGGCCAGAGATCAGGGACATCAGAATCGTATTCATCCAAGAGGCAAGGTAGACATCATATTATCGAAGATCGGGGTAGTTTTGAAGTGGATCCAGCAGGCCCAGGTATTTGTGTAATGGGTTGGTCTATAACAGGCAATATGGGTCAGTTCTTCCATGGTAGCAATTTTGTCAATTCTCGTAAACCATTGTTTGAGTGGAGGGGAGGAGGGTCGGACTTTTAATACTTTGGGATAAGCGGTTTCAAAGCATGGAGCATATCAAATTGAAATTATTTCTTATACTTTCAGGGTGTTTCAGTGGTATGGTGGAGAAGACATGCTGAGGGAGTCATAGGCAGAGACACTGCTGTAATACTCGAGATAAAGTCCTCCAGATTTCCACAAAAATCTGGATCCGTGGGCAAGTCCACCGTATATGCATGAAAGATCCCTCCTCCTCTCCACACCTCTAGCAAAGTTGGCTACATGAGGGAAAAGATTTATGCAGCATTGGATCAAATTTTGAAATGATTTTCCTGAGCATTGACGTTTATCGAACTCTTGGACGTATTGATGTTTATATTTTTCCACTCTTGGTCGGAGAAAGTCATCCCTAAGTCTGCCTCCCATCTGGATTTAAGTTTATCAAATGTCGATAATGAAGAGGTCATGATAAGTTGGTAGAGATCAAATGTGTATGAGGCTCCCTAGAAGAGCAAAGGGACTCTAGTGCTGTAAGCGTCCTTGAATACAGATGTTTATATTGGGAGTCATTGAGAAAATATCTGAAACTTCTGTTGGAAATAGGACCACATAGGGAACTCTGGACTCTGTGAATATTGTTCAGTTCTTAGAATTTGTCTATCTTTAAAGATTCCAGATTAAAAAAAAGTGTTGAGCAGTCACAGTGCCTCTGGGCCACCAATTGCATTAAAAAGGTAGGGGATTGTCCTGGTGGAAAGGCAGGATTGTCCCAGACAGGGGTGAGAGGGCCAATGTTAGTTGTCAGGTGTAAAGAATTGCTCACTATTTTGCAGATTGACAGGGTCGTGTTAATTAGAGGGTGTTTAGTTAAGGATATTGGAAGGAAATCTCAAGGAATCCAAGAGGAGAGAGGAAGGGATTCTAAAGACGTAGATCTCTCAATAGAAACCCACTCCTTCTGTGAATAGTGAATATTCCAATCTACCAATCTTGTAAAATGGCAGGACCAATAATATTTTCCCATGTCTTGGAGTCCTATTCTGCTGTATTGTTTGGGAGTAGTCATGAGTGTGAATGATAATCTAGGTGTCTTATTTCCCCAGAGAAATGTTTGGAAAAGCGTCCATAAAGATCGGAAAAAGCTTTTTGGGGGGGAAATGGGGATGGTCTGAAAAAGATATAGAATTCTGGAAGCAATGTTCATTTAAAAAATAGCTGATCTGCCAAACCACGAGAAAGTTGGCTTATCCCACGAATTCAAGTCTTGTTTAATGGAGATAAGTAGTTTGGAGAAGTTCAAATGGTACAGTTGAAAAAGATCAGCAGACAGCTGTATATCTAGGTATGGGATGTAAGAAGATTTCCAGGTATAGGGGAAAAGACGCTGGCAATTTTCTATAGTGGTTGTAGGGAGTGATATGTTAAGAGAAAAAGATTTTGAGTACTTAATTTTGTAGGAAATGGTTTGGAAGTGTTGAATCCAATAAGGCGTCCAATAAGGAGGGGAGAGTTGTCAAAGGATTTGTCAGAGTTAAAAGGAGGTCATCTGCAAAGGCTGCTAATTTATACTCTGTATGACCAATCGTCACTCTTTAGATGGTAAAGTTCTCTTGAAGAGATTGAAGGAACGGTTCTTATGTAAGGACGAAAAGAAGGGAAGAAAGCGGGCAACCCTGTCTGGTTCCATTGCAGATGGATAAGGCGTCCGACAGATGTCCATTAACCCGAACTCAGGCTCGTGGTTGACGATAAAATGTCAATGCCCTAGAAAGCATTGACTGTTCAATGCTAAAGGTTTTCCTCGGCTTATATTCGGGACGGCTTATACTCGAGTATATACGGTAGCTTCCTTGTTGTTCCAAACCAATCTGTTGAATGCCTTCTCTGCATCCGTGGACAAAAAGAAGCTATTAGATTGTTTGGTAGAAGCCCATTGGGCTAAATTAATTTCTTTAGTTGTGTTGTCCCTGGCCTCACAACCTGGGACAAAACCTGTTTGGTTTATTGCAATAAGGTAGGGTATGAAAGGGAGAAGAGGATTTGCTAAAATTTTGGCATAAATGTTTACATCTACTTAAGGAGCGAGATGGGCCTATAGTTTTCACATAAGGAGGGGGTCTTTGCCTGTTTTGTTATTACTGATATATGTGCTTCAAGAAGGTATGGAGAGGGAGAAGAGTCCTCCTCTACAAGAGAGTTAAATGTTGAGAGAAAGTGGGGTGAAAGAGTAGGGGCAAAGCTTCTATAATACTGAGATGGAAGACCATCATGGCCAGGGGATTTTCCGGGTCTTAATTGTTTAAGAAGCTGAGCCAGTTTTTCTCCCATACTAGGAGTCTCATGAGATGAATCTTGGCGAGGTGTAAGGTGAGTTAGAGTTGGTGAGCATAGAAATTGTTGAGATATCCTATTGTCGGTCGATCAAGGCCTGTGGAGATACAGAAGATTCCTGTAAGTTATATGGGCGTTCATAAAATTATCGTAATTGATTTGCAATGTCACCCGATTTGGTGAGGAGAGATCCGTGCTTATCTCTGATTATATCCACTTTAAGTGAGGAATGCTTGGTTCTGAGGGCTCTAGCCAAGAACCTACTGCTTTTGTTGCCATATTCATAGAAACATCTGCTAGGTAAGACAAAAGCTCTTTTGGCTTGAGAATCGATCTATTCTATCAAATGGGTACGAAGATCAATAATAGAGTGTAGCTGATCAATTGCGAGGCAATGTTTATATAGTTGTTTTAGACTTTTTATTTTCTGTGCGAGGTCTGCTATATGGGGCTGTCATGCTTTTTTTAAATGGGCATTTCAAGAGATGAAAAGGCCTCGTATGACATTTATGTGCCTCTAAAATTGATAAGTTTAATGAGGAGGGTGGAGAATTGTAGAAGAAATAATTTTCTAGAGACTTCTGTACAGAATCGACTATGGCTGGGTTACAGAGGAGTGAGGGGTTCAGACACCATTGTTTGGGACAAGAGTCTTCAGACGAAAAAACCAGGAAAAGCTGGTTTTCTATATCTTCATAATGCAGTAAATACCAACTTAATTATTATTTTTCCGGTAATTGAATATCCATCTGCGGGGAGTCTCCCCACCCAACCAGGAGACAGGAGCGCCGGGGGGAGGCAGTCCGAAAAGCAAGATGTGTGGGTTCCAGGGAGGTTATTTATGTTGTATACATCTATTTATGGTTTTTATATGGATGAATTTTAGCATATTTATATGTATAGACATTATGAATTGAGTATATTAAAAATGGAATTTTATTATATATATGAATCAATTGACTTTACTATTGGATCAATTCCCTGCTATTCTCTAGTGGTCACCACAAAGCCCCTTTCTTTCTCTTTCCCCCTTTTGATATATATTGCATATATAGGGGTGGTGGCCCAGTTTGTGTGATGGTTCCTAATTTTTGTATTACAGTGTTGCCACAATCAGCTTAAATGCTCTCTGCACTTTAAAACTGGGAACTGGTCGGTCAGTCTGCAGTCTGTACTGTTCTTGGTGTCTGTAGCTCTTATCTGTTTCTCCCATGTGAGTGCTTGAAATATAAAATCTTTGAAAACCCTTAAAGTGAATACTGAATACTGATTATATGCTATGATCTAGACTTTTTGTTTTCTTTTTTTATATAGCTCTTCATTCTTAATTTTTATGTTTATCTATATTTAGCCTTTATTTCTTGCACTTAATGTGCATGCTTTTTTTTTTTTTAGACAAAATAGATGAGGAGCTGGAAATGACAACAATCTGTTATCGACCAGAAGGACTGGAACAACTTGAAGCACAAACAAACTTTACAAAACTAGAGCTGCAAGTTCTCTACAGAGGTTTCAAAAATGTGAGTTTATACAAATCAAATTAAGACAGTTCTAACAAAAATCTTTAGAAGATTTACATATGTGATACAATGATAAAGGGTGAACTGGTGCCATGAAATTCTAAAGTTGAAAGGGACAAGAGACCAAAGAATAATGCTAGACCTTTTAAGAGCGTGTACAAAGTGAGAGAGCTAGATTTATTAGTTTCTATGAATGTCTCTATGAAGCTATTCTAAAGACTGATTTTTATTCATTTAAAGACATACAGGGTTATTCACAAAAGGGTGAAGAGTTTAGAGAAGGCATGAGAAGTGAGCAATCTAGGACAGCGGTCGCCAACCTTTCGGACCTCATGGACCACTAAATTCTTTGTTTTAAATCCTGCGGACCACTAATATGAATAATAATAAAAAAAAAATACACATACATACATAGGTGCGGATGTGCTTGCAGGAGTGGCAGTGCTGGTGGAGGGAGCGGTGGAGCCCCGGCCCAGCAATAATATTAATTGTTTCCCCCCTATCGAATCTGCCACTGGCCCTGCCGGCTGCACCCTGGGCACATGCCCCCCCTAGCTTCAGCACTGCCCCCAACCACCCCGTGCCTCCCCTTCCCCCACACTGAGCCACTATTATCTGGCTTCTCCTGCAGCCTGCTCAGTCCGGGTACTGACAAGATGCCCCGCCTCCTGCAGAGTCAGGACTGTACTCAGACCCGCACATTCCTTGTGACAGCCGCTGCTTGAGTCAGTGAGAGGCAGCCCCTGAGCCTCTGCACTGCTTCAATGACGGCCCAGCCTGCAGGCATCATAGTGGCCCGGGGACCACCAAAATTTTCTCGCGGACCACAAGTGGTCCACGAACCACTGGTTGGCGACCGCTGATCTAGAACAACATAGCTGATTTAGAAAAATTCTCCAATTCAGCTCACTTTCCAGTGCAGCTATGTTGTCTTAGATTGTTCACTTCTCCCAAAAGGCGGACAAAATTGTCTGTGCATCTTATGAAGCGAATGTGTGAGAGCTGAGAGAATCCCTATCGCCCGACGCCCGGGACATGCAGTTTCAGGCGCCGGGCTAGTAGTTTTTTTGTACATTTAGCCCTGCTCCAGACAAGCAGAGCTAAATGTATAGTGTGGATCCTCCTTTCACTTGTATGAAAGGAGCAGTGGCGATCCTGTCCAGCACCTCGCCCCCGCCGCGGTTTTCAGGGTCCCCCGCTCTTCTGGGGGATCCGTGACCACGGCATAGGAGCTCACCATAGAGCAGACGAAGAATGTTGAAACGCAGCACCTTGATATTGGAATGAAACAAAGGCACTGGTTAATGTCTGAGGTGAGGTATAGATTAATGGTGATCCTATGAACTTGTATATAAAGATATATGAATACTAAGTGTAATATTAAATGATTTCCTTTGTTGAAATATCTGTGTGCAGGGACTCTGTTTTCCTTTGGATGGTTAAACGTGCATGCACATGTTAGTCGAGTTGCACTGAAGTCCTGGTATATTGAAGCGATGACCGTGGGAGCATTACCTTCTCAGTGAAACATTTTGTTATCTATAGCCAGGCTAACTCAACTTATTATTATTATTATTATTTTTTTTTAAAGGTTAGAAAAAAAATAATTTTCGGGTTCGGCCTAAAAAATGTTTTTTTTTTTGGTCTGAAAATTACATTTCAGTCCACCACTGATCCATATTTATATACATAAATCTCATTATACTCTTACCGCATAAACACATTTTCTTTAAGGAAAACACCCTATTTATGGCAAAATATTTTTATTTGCGCGGCAAAAAGACAATGAAATATAGTATTTTGTACTTTTAACCTGATAGGATAAAAAAAAATTTTTTTTTTAAATTCTCAATACACGATTCCTTAAAGTGTATTCTCGCTTTTGCAGCCAAACTGGGATAATGCCTTTTTTATATGTGTCACATGTTCCTATTCAAATAGCATAACTATTTAACTATTCTGTCTATATAAATTGTTGCTTACCTTTTTACTTGACTTTTAGTTGCTAAAAACCTTATTCAGCTTTTCACTGCCAGGTAATGGTAAGGGGGGGGCTGGGGAGTAATGTTTGCCATAATTAACACTGTCTGTAATGTGCTGGCAGATCTCCATTATCAGTTGTAAACTAGAAGTGCAGGACTGTATGTCCTAACAAAGGCTTTAAGATCTCAAGGCTTAGGTGGTAAATTGTATGTCATACAATCAGGCCCGTCTTACATATTGATCGGACCCTGGGCAAACATTTTCTTGGGCCCCCCCGGACCCCCCACCAAGAAAAAAAAATGTAAAAAATGACAACATGATTGTATATCTCCCTGAAAATCTCACTCCATTTCTGTTCGGTCCTTCAATATATGTGAATAACATGATTGATAGAATTACAATGCATGATAGTAGAAAGCCATGATTAGACATAATTAACATGATTAGATAATCAGACTTAACAGAGACATGATTGTTGGTAATTTGACATGATACAGCGTTATTGAAGGTTTAACAGAGGAGGAGCCTAGTTTTCTTTCAACGTTTTGCGCTTAGGGGCGCTTCTTCAGGAGAGGGAGGTTGTCATTCAAATGTGCAGCCCGGGGCGACTGTGCAACATGCTGGGGGCTCCACAGTGAGAGGAGGACGGACACCCCTCGGTTCTGGTCGGGGAAATAAGCAGTTCCAGGACTTTTGGCTACCCTTGATGCCTCTCAGTTTATGCTGTTCCGGGTGGGATTCGCGGTCCGGGCCTCTCTCCCCTCATCTGCTTCGGTGACTGTGACCCAGGTGCTGTGCCTGGATGGCCCTGCAGAGATGCACACACTGACCCATTTGAATGACAACCTCCCTCTCCTGAAGAATATATACCACATCCATTACAGCGCCCCTAAGCGCAAAACGTTGAGAGAAAACTAGGCTCCTCCTCTGTTAAACCTTCAAAAACGCTGTATCATGTCAAATTACAAACAATCATGTCTCTGTTAAGTCTGATTATCTAATCATGTTAATTATGTCTAATCATGGCTTTCTACTATCATGCATTGTAATTCTATCAATCATGTTATTCACATATATATGAAGGACAGAACAGAAATGGAGTGAGCTTTTCAGGGAGATATACAAATTGTATATCTCCTTTATATTTCTCCTTTTTTATTTTCTCACCTACCTGTCTCAGTCAGTCCTCGCCTCGTGCCAGTCTGCCTCTTTCTGGATGTCCTGGACGTGAGTGAGGCACCGGGGGAGGAGCTACCTTTAGGATGCGATCGTGCAGATCGCATAGGACAATACGTTATGGCATTGCCGTATGCGGCCGTTGCCATAACGTATTATACTATGCAATCTGATCGGCAATTTTCTGCGGGCAGCGGGCTCAAGGGGCAGATGCTTCGGGCCCCACAACCTTTAATGGGCCCGGGGCAAGCGCCCTCTTTGCCCTGCGTTAAAGACGGCCCTGCATACAATTAATAAACTTGGGGACAGTAATAAAACTGTCCCAAGTTTATTCACTTTGCCATCTATTTTAAGCTATAAAGGCTGCCTATAGTGTCCTATGTACACACCAACTACAAAGAAACAACCTAGAAAGGAAATACTTTAAAATAAAATAGGCTTAAAGTATGCTATATACAATATCTCACAGAAGTGAGTACACCCCTCACATTTTTGTAAATATTTTATTATATAATTTAATGTGACGACACAGAAGAAATAACACTTTGCTACAATGTAAAGTAGTGAGTGTACAGCTTGTATATCAGTGTACATTTGTGTCCCCTCAAAATAACTCAACACTGTTACAAGAACAAATTAAAAAATGCTATTACCAAGTGTATACCGTTGGATAACAAAAGTAAAAGATCAAAAACTAAGCCTATATGGCTAAATAAAACAGTAAAACATCACATTAAGGAGAAGAAAGTGGCATTTAGTAAGTATAAGTCGAAGGGGACAGTATTGGCGTTCCAAAACTACAAAGAATGTAATAAAAGATGTAAACTAGTAATCCGGGCAGCTAAAATTGAATGTGAGAAGTATATCGCCAAGGTTAGTAAAAGGAACCCCAAAAAATTATATCAATACATAAACAGTAAAAAGGGGAGAAAGGAAAAGATAGGCCCAATAAAGGACGAAAACGGGAGGTTAGTCACAAACGACAGGGAGAGGGCCGAGGCGCTAAATCCTTTTTTTCTCGTCGGTATTCACCAAGGAAAAAGATGGGTTTAATGTATATAATAAAACGCATAGTATAACAGAAAATATACCTCAGTGGTTGACCGAAACCGGGATACAACATAAGCTGAAACTACTTCATGCAAATAAAGCATTAGGACCTGATCATCTACACCCCAATGTACTCAAAGAACTCAGCCAGGTAATAACGAGACCATTGTTCCTCATTTTTAAGGAATCCATAATGACTGGTAGAGTGCCAAGCGACTGGCGGAGGGCTAATGTGGTACCTATATTCAAAAAAGGGTCAAAATGCCAACCCGGGAACTACAGACCAGTTAGTCTGACATCCATAGTATGCAAACTGTTAGAAGGAATTATTAAGGACTACTTAGTGGAATTTGTTCAGGATCATGGCATAATAACTGATAACCAGCATGGATTTAGGAAGGATCGTTCTTGCCAGACCAACCTGCTAACCTTTTCCGAAGGGGTAAGTAGAGATCTGGATGGAGGGAGGTGGGTGGACGTAGTGTATCTGGACTTTTCCAAAGCATTTGATACGGTGCCACATAAACACTTGTTATACAAGCTAAGGTCTATGGGCATAGATGAAATAGTGTGCACGTGGATAGAAAACTGGTTACAGGAACGTGTACAAAGAGTATCAGTTAATGGCACCTTTTCAGACTGGGCTGAAGTCATGAGTGGCGTGGCCCAGGGTTCTGTGCTGGGTCCAATGCTCTTCAACCTGTTTATTAATGATATCGGGGAGGGAGTGAATAGCCATGTATCAGTTTTTGCTGATGATACCAAAATTGGGAGGGTAATAGACACGGATT